AGCAAGACTTCGCTCACGGCGCTATCGCTTGCCCAAGCTCACGTTGCCTTAGGACTCCCGCGGGCTGGTGCACGACATGGTGTATGATGCGCTCGAGCGGACTGGTGGCGAGCGAAGTTGGCAAAGGCAACGGTGCAGCCTCCCGAGAGGGCATGGGGCCTTCTGCCCGAGGGATCGGCCCCTGGACGCCAGGCGCCCCGTGTCTTCTGAGAGGCGCGGGGGTCCTTCTCAGAGGGCTGCCACTGCCCCCCCCACCCTGCCCCCCTGGGAGGAGGACATGGTACTTTATACGGCGTCGGCGCGCGCAAAGGCCTTTGACACTACGTCAATCGTTCAATCTTGAATCGATCGCGGCTCCGACCGTTCCAGGTTGAACTCCGTCGGGTCATGTGGCGTAACTGTCCCTCGTTGGTGCTTCCGCATCGTTTTATCATGCGGTGTTCCTACGTGCCCCTTTGTGCCGCAAAGGCGCAGAGTTCAACCTCAAACGCCTTCGCTGGCGTCGCCTGCGTGCCAACGCCGCACGAACCTGCCGTGTGAGGATGACCCAAGCCTCTGAAGATTATTTCTGTTCGGCACGGGTCACTGGAGCCCGTCGCGTGACCTCATCCCCAGGACAGTTTACGCGTCCTGAGTCTTTTCCTGACTGTCCCGCGTCCCGGGTCTGCGTGGCCCAAGGAGCGGGAGGGCAAACCCAGAATGCCGCGCCGCCCTGGGGAACCCATCAGCCAGTCGCTGGTGAGAAAGACTCGGCCCCCCGGACTCTGAAACGAGGAACACGCGACAGGCTCCCAACGGCAGCGTGTCGTTGATACGCCTACCCCCGCCCGGCGTAGGACCTAAACGCAAGAAAAAAACCGAGACAGGAGTCCTCCTCCTCCTCCTTCTTCTCCTCCTCCTCCTCCTCCTCCTCCTCCTCCTCCTCCTCCTCCTCCTTCTCCTCCTGGTCATCCTCCTCCTCCTCCTCCTCCTCCTTGAAGAGACGACTGCCGCCCCCGAGTCCAGCGGGGGCACGCCGGCCTGGGTCCGCGCTCACTGGGGTCCGCCAGGACCCCGTCGCGAGCCCAGGCAGGCCACGGAGCAGCTCCCAGAAGCCCAGGCCGGCCCGAGGGAGGGGGGGAATCGGGGATGGACAGAACCCCCCTTAGTAAAACGTGGTTTAGTGAAGACGACCTCGGGCCCAAACCTGGCAGGCGCAAGCCTGGAAAATTACGGCCGCGGCGCCATCTCGAGGAAAACGGACAATTCACTAATCGACGCGTCAGGGTGGGGGTTCTGTCCCCCCTGAGGGCAGGGGGGCTCGGCTGCACGTGGCTCCCCAGCCCGTGTCGGCCAGAGGGGATTGGCTGACCCCCGTCACCGGCCGTGCGATACCCCGTTTGGGGGCCAGGACGGGGCCCCCAGAACCCCAGGGCTGGCTCTGCGCACCCCGAGTCTTCTTTGTGCGGCTCTCCCAGGGCCCTGCGAGGGCCCTCAGAGACCGAATAGGAACCCGCCGCCGCCAAAAACCGCACAGAACGGCCCAGACTGAACAGAAGAGCAACTGCCGACACGCACAAACAAAAACACGGGACACCGCCAGACACCCCGAACGGCAAGGGCAGGTCTGGGTCGGCGCCGACGCTCCGCAACCTGCGCCCTGTGCCCCTCGGCAACGCTCCGACCTTCTGGCCCGCCCCGCCCCGCCCCGCCCCGAGAAACAGCACACGGCATACGCATTGGCTCTCGGAGGTCCGCGCGGCCAACCTATAGATCGGAGCTGGACGCCCTCCCTGACGCGCAGAGTGAGCCAGGGGGCGGCGCCGCAGGCGTCGCTGTGGGGGGCCCAAGGCTCGGGCGGGTCCCTACCTGGGGGGGTAAAGAAGAAGAGGGCCCCAAAGGGGCCCTTGGGGCCCCTGAGGGGCCAGCGTGGGCCCGGAAGGGGCCCCAAAGGCATCCCTTGGGGGCCCTCTTCTGCACCCCCCCATCCAGGTCACCCGCCAGGACCACCCGTCCGAAACGCCGATCCAAGATATCCGCGCGGACCTCTGAAAACCTGGCACCGCCCCTGACGCGCTCTGCGTGCCAGGGGGGCTGTCCAGCGCAGATCCACGGCATCCGCGCGGACCTCTGGGAGGCCGCGTTCGTGTCGTAATTTCTGGTTCGACCATCTGCTCGGGCGTCGGCCCTCGTCGCCGTGCGCGGCGCAAGAGCAGCGAGCAGCGCGCGAGCGGCCACGGAGAGGTCTGCGTCGCCGCAGCGAGCGGCAGCCCAGACATTACCACCAGCCTCGAGCTCACACCGAGCTTACAGTCAGCGTGCTTACACAAGGAACGCAAAATCCGCCGGCCCCCTTATGGGGCCACCAGGCTGTAGGCGCGGGTTCGCAGTTTCCTGTACCAGTTGTAGCTTGTAGTTTCCAGTGTTACAGTTCTGCTTCTTGCTGGTTACTGTAACTAGTTGATTGACCGCGCGAGGGGGGGGAGGCCCAAACAGGATTTTCCAGCGTCCCCTGGGCGCGTTGTCTGAATTGCTGGGGGGGCTCGAAATCGACACCCCTCACGCAGATCCGCGGGGTCAGGGTCCAAAAACACAGGGGATTTGCCACATTTCTGAAATTCGGTGCCACCCCTCACGCAGATCCGCGGGGTCAGGGTCCAAAAACACATGGGATTTGCCACATTTCTGAAATTCGGTGCCACCCCTCACGCAGATCCGCGGGGTCAGGGTCCAAAAACACATGGATTTGCCACATTTCTGAAATTCGGTGCCACCCCTCACGCAGATCCGCGGGGTCAGGGTCCAAAAACACAGGGATTTGCCACATTTCTGAAATTCGGTGCCACCCCTCACGCAGATCCGCGGGGTCAGGGTCCAAAAACACAGGGGATTTGCCACATTTCTGAAATTCGGTGCCACCCCTCACGCAGATCCGCGGGGTCAGGGTCCAAAAACATAGGGGATTTGCTACATTTCTGAAATTCGGTGCCACCCCTCACGCAGATCCGCGGGGTCAGGGTCCAATTATCCCGGCAAAGCAACCTAACAGCGATGTGTAGAAGCATATATGAAAGCATTCCCCTTAAGATTCAGATGAAAATCCAGTTGTAGAATTCTGCTGTTCTCGCAGTCGTAGTCGCATTCGCGATGACAGTCGCAGCGGCAACGGCAGTCGCAGTCACAGCCTCAGCCTCAGCCTCAGCCTCAGCCTCAGCCTCAGCCTGCCTCAGCCTCAGCCTCAGCCTGCTTCAGCCTCAGCCTCAGTCTGCCTTCAGCCTCGGCCTCAGCCTCAGCCTGCCTCAGCCTCAGCCTGCATCAGCCTCAGCCTCAGCCTCAGCCTGCCTCAGCATCAGCCTGCTTCAGCCTCAGCCTCAGCCTGCCTCAGCCTCAGCCTCAGTCTGCTTCAGCCTCAGCCTCAGTCTGCCTTCAGCCTCGGCCTCAGCCTCAGCCTGCCTCAGCCTCAGCCTGCCTCGGCCGCAGCATCAGCCTGCCTCAGCATTCAAAATGTGGCCCAGGAATGGAGTTCTGGGAACTAGAAGAACACGAAGTGGCCTACAGTTGGCTCCGGGCATTCAAAATGTGGCCCGGGAATGGAGTTCTGGGAACTCGAAGAGCACGAAGTGGCCTACAGTTGGCTCCGGGCATCCAAAATGTGGCCCGGGAATGGAGTTCTGGGAAGTCGAAGAGCACGAAGTGGCCTACAGTTGGCTCCGGGCATTCAGAATGTGGCCCGGGAGTGGAGTTCTGGGAGGTCGAAGAGCACGAAGTGTGTGACTGTTTGCCAAAACGAGTGCGGCGGCAGCCGCGGCGGCAGCCTGTCCGGGTCTCGCCCAGACCCCCCTGAGGAGTCATGATGCTCTCTTTTGAAACCGCTAGAAGCCTATCAGCAAGAGCTGTTAGGTAAAAACACATGGGATTTGCCACATTTCTGAAATTCGAACCCACACCTTACGCAGATCCGCGGGGTCAGGGTCCAAAAACACAGGGGATTTGCCACATTTCTGAAATTAGAACCCATCGCGCACATCCATCGCAAGGCGTGGTAACCCAAACTGCGAGAACTCCCTCGGCCCTTTAATCGCGTGGTAACCAAGCCCTTAAACCATACACGTCTTACCAATCGCCAGGTGTGGTAACTCCTCTTGTGATCAGTTGGTTTTGCTGATTGCGACTCGGCTTCGCATGAAGTTTCGATACTGCTTCACGACAGCGCCAAGGCCTCATGACTTAGCTCTTCCATGGCCCATTCTCCGAGAGAGGGGGCCGGCGGCAGGGGGCGAAACCCTTACAGATAAATAACGAAGGGGCTTTTCTGGCCACGGCGAGCCTCGGCCACGACTGGGCTCCACGACATAAATGTAAGTGACGGCCCGAAAACCCGAGTCCCTCCTGAGTCCAAAGCGGTCCTTATTTCAGCGGCTTGACTGCACCCCAATCCCAAAGATTGACAAGCCAAAGGCGATTACAAGATCAGGAATGCACCCTCAGAAACTGGGAGGATCCGTCGGATCGGCACCAAGAGAGGGAGATGCCAAACTTGGTAAGAGATGTGTCAGGCTGGTAAAACGGCCCCGCGCCGCCATAGCAGCTGGCGCACAGACCGCGCCCGGTGCTGTGCTGCTTGTCGTCGCAGTTTTGCCATCGGGGGGCGTCCAGGAGGGGGTCTCTCAGATCATGGCCCGAGGCACGTGCGCGGCCCGGGGGGGCGGGGGGCAAGGGACGTGCTGAAACAAGAGGATATCATGGCCCCAGCAATGATAACTGCCCCCCCCAAGTCATCACCTCCATCTTGGCCGCCCCCGATGTCAACCACCAGGGGCCGTTTCTGGGCCATGGGGAAGTGAGAAAGCGCTGCAGCTCGAGATCTTGGGATGCGCGCCTGTCGGTGGTCTCCAGGATCCCAAGGGAGGAAGGAGCACGGGGGCGACCATGGAGGAGGAGAGAGGCGGAGGAAGAGGAGGGAGCAGGAGGCAGAGGAACAGGAGGAGGGAATGAGGAGGGGGGGGGAAGAGGCCAAGTGCGAGGAGAGGGGGCGATTGGAGGAGATCGGGCCCTCCAGACGTCCGGGCGTCCGCCATCGCCAAGCCTCCACATCAAGCCTTTTTGAGGCCAGATCGCTATCCAGACGTTGCCTCCGGGCTCAGCCAGAAACGGACCAAGATCGGGGCTCCGAGCTATAGGCCTGCCGTGATGCCCTCTAGTCTAGTGGCGTCGTGCCCTTCTCGAATCCGGGTTCCGGCGCCGCTGTTTTCGCCGCTTCCCAGCGACGCGGCCAGCATGGACGCACGTGAGCAACCAAAAACGGCGGCGCCCGCGGTGTATTACACTCCGAGGCGGCCTGTCGGGGAGGGCCAGGGCTAGAAGCTGCCCGGGGGGCGGAAACAGCCATGCGCCATCGCTCCTCCCCCCTGCTCCACTCATCACGAATCCTGATGCCACCCTCAGCGCTCCCACACCTCGGGATCTATCGCATTCAGCATTCAGCTAGCGGTCTTCGGGACGCACGCCTGCAACTGCCTGCGATATGTGAGGAAACTCGCGGGCACACGCCCAGCGCTGCGTACAACTAAATAACTTGTATGGGAGGAGGGAAAGGGGGATGACAGAGAAACGGATCTAGGCCTGGAGCAGATACATAGCCTACAATAATTCACCCCTCGAAGAGCGCACTTACGGATCGAAAATAAAAACGCACACCCTAAAAGAAACAATGGTGTGCTTCCTGCATCTAGGTGCAGAGCGTTTGCCCGAGAAAAAAGAAGCACGACAATATTCTACAGCCACTTAGCGCGCTCCACTGGCAGCTGTACGTGGGCAAGGAGGGCGCAGCATTCACATCAAAAACAAGTTCTTCCTTTTCCCAGTTTCATCCGCACCCGCGCTGGCATCTGCCCCAAGCAGCCTTTTCAGCCCTGTGTCAGGGCTCTTCAGCGCAAGCTCACTGGCAGTCTTGCCCATCGCCTTGACAGCAGTGTCGCACCCTGCGTCAACCAACAGCTTCGCCACGTCGGCTTTATTGCACCTGACAGCCATGATGAGAGGGGTCATGCCGTTCTTCCCGACGATGTCGATGTTGGCCTTGGCGTTGATCAGAGCAGCAGCCAGTTCGGAGTTACCGTTACGCGCGGCCTCAAGAAGATAGGATGAGTTCAGGCCTATCTCCATATTGCCTTTGTCAGGATCGGATTTGAACTCCAGCAGCAGGGAAACCATCTCCTTTGAAGACTCCTCCTCGATTGCCAAATGCAGGGGCGTCTTGTACTGGCCATCAATGATGTTCGGGTCGGCCCGGGCCTCCAGCAGCAGCCGCGCCGCGGCGACGTAGTCCCAGGCGGCGCAGTAGTGCAGCGCCGTGCGGTGCTTCTCGCGCTCCTCGAACGACTTGCTGGTGAAGTCGGCGTCCTTCTCCGGGTCCTGGTCCTGCACGTTCGGGTCCGCCCGGGCCTTCAGGAGGGCCTCCACTGCAGAGCTCACCTGCTCCGGCGTCGTGCACTTGGCGGAGGCTGCCAGGTGCAAGGGGGTCTGGCCCTTGTTGTTGACTGTGCTCGCGGTGGCGCCGAGGTCCAGCAACACCCCCATGACGTCATGCCAGCCGTTGCGCACGCTCTCCGCCAGAGCCGTCGTGCCGTTGCAGTCCGGCTCGTCCACGTTGACTCCTGTGGCGGCGGCTCGGACCTTGCTCGCCATGGGTGCCTTCCCACCGGCGGTCTTGAACGCCTTCTCCCACCACACCAGCACCCGCTCGCGGCAGAGCTGCGGAAGGTCCTCGGGGACAAAAATCAAGGTGCCGTCGTTGAGCTGCACCTGGTAGGGGGCGTAGAAGTTCGGCGGGAAGCCCTCCTGGGTGTACCAATGGTCCACCACGGTCCCTGGCTCCCACCCGCTCGACGTGTTGCACAGCACCTGCGCCCCGATCGCGAAGCGCAGAGGCTTCCCCTTCCCCTTGCCCTTGCCGCCCCTTCCCATTCTGCACAGTGAGAAGGGAGAGCGGGTCGCGAGCGTCTGCAGAGTCGCAGGATGCGCAATCAAAACGGAGCCAAAATGACTCGAGCCAGAATGGCCACGGACCGACCCCGAGACCCGACGTTAAGAGAGAGACCCACGAGGCCGTGAAGAAGCACCAGAACAGGAACTCTGCCCCACCTTCACTCCTCGATCCTTGGGGCAGGATCTGATGGGCAACGATAGGAGGGACTGGCATAGGAGGGGACACGTCGACCTGGAATCGGCGACGCACCGCCGATAGATCGGCGATAGGCCCTTGATCGTGAAATTCGCACGCTCCTGGGCAGGTTGGGGCTGTCTGGGCCCCCATCGGCGATCAGCGGGCGATTGGGGGTCGATGCGTCCCTTCCTGCGCCTATCCTTCGGTCGGGCATGTCCTCCTACAGGCGGACTTTGGACGAAAGAGGGAAAAGAGCGAGAAAAAGTGCCGCAATGGTCAAAACATGTGGAGACATCGTCCCCGGACTAACCCCGGGAAGCAAACAGTAAACCCCACGGCGATATCGTTAGCACAGAAAATAAAATGAATAATTATTTTGGGCGGCGCCCTCCGGCGATATCGTTAGCACATCAAAAAATAAACAAGGGGGGGGGGAAGGGGGGGGGGGAGGGGGGTTTACTGATTGCTTCCCAGGGTCATTCCTTGACTATCTTCGAGCCTTTCTCCTGCAGAGGGGCATGTCCGGCTCCAGCCTCTCCCCCCGTGAAGACCACGCCGCCAGGGCCGCAGGGGCCCCCACGCCGGGCCCGGCGACGACGGTTCGGGTGCTGCCAGCAGTGCCCCTGGCCCACGGTGCCCCCAGCTTTGGGTCGAGCCTGTCCCCTCCAGGGGGATTTTCGACGAAAAAAAAAAAATACTTCAAAAACAAGCCCAAAGAGTCCAAAAAAAAAATGGTCTGGGGACTATTTTTGGACAATCTTTTGACCTTTCTGGGGTATGTTTGGGGTATTTTCTATTTTTCGTCATACATCCCCCTGTAGGGGGACACGCCCGACTTAACCCCAGCTTTTCGCTCCACTTCGGAGCCGCCATGGGGTCCTCTGGGCCTCGTGAGGGGTGCCCAAGGAGGCCGCCTTGGCCACCCCGAAAATCCTGGGGGTACCTTGGGCCAGGGGTACTCCCAGCAACACCCGAGCGGCCGTGCCTCTGCCACAGCTCCCAGACACCTCCGGCCTTCGCGCCCCCGGCGCCGCCGCCCTGCACGGAGCCGGGGGCACCCATGCCGCGGCCCGCGCCGCGGCGCGAGAGCGCCTCCGCGACCCTGCGGGCGGCCACGGCATCCGGAGGCCCACGGGGTGGACGGAAGTGGCGCGGGGGGGGGGCCGCCGCCCTGGATGGAGACGCACAGGGAAATACTAATACTGATTGTCCTCCTTTCCAGAGCGGTGTGGCCAGAAAGCGCCCGCCACGACGCATATACTATAGGATTTCTCGGTGCGCGCGTCGCGGCGACGCACACACACAGTATCAGTATGTTGGGTGACGCCGATGGATCGGGGCTCAAGAAGCGGGGGTCAATCCAGACGGGGTTAGCCAGAGCGATGAGTCTTTCAAAATGCTGCAGGGCAAGGGCTGCACTGCGCCGGGCTCGGGTGCAGGCTGCTGCAAGATCCTGCGAGATCATGCGGGGCCCTGCAAGGCTGACTGACCCTGGTCTGGACTGACCCTTGAGCAGGGACCGACCGTCCCAGCATTCCTATAGTCCTACCACGAAATGCGCTTAGAACCCCAAAAAGTTCTCAGAACAGAAACAATGTGCTTAGAACATTAAACCGATGTGTTAAACCAAGACAGTCCCAGCCAGAAATGTTCTAAGAACATTTCCCGGAAACCTCAAAAGGTTCTTAGAACATTGTTTGGTATATAGGCGAGCCAGGACGCTTCGGCACTGCTTGAGACCCCGGCCAGAAGATCTCCGGCTGGAGAAGGGGGGGGGGGCACCCGGACTGGCTCGCGTCGGCCGGGGCGACTAGCGTCAGAAGCTTTGCGCCCCCTCGGGCGCCCAGAGGATGCGGAGATCTACACGCTGGACGGAAGGGAGGGATATGGCGAGGGTGGGGGGTACGGTTATGTTGCTCCCATCGTACTCAAGGGCCCCGTCCCAGAAATACTTTCGAGCACCTGGAAGAGTGTCAAAAGAGTGTCGAAACAGTGTCGGGCGAGTGTCTCCCAGGGCCCGACACGTGAGCACCCTCGAGTTTGGGGGTACTTTTCTGGTGCTCGAAACTCTTTCTGGTGATCGAGGCTAAAGTAGGTTGGAACCTCCTAGGGGTACGGTAGGCTCGCGCGGCGTCGGCGCGCGCAAAAAATTTCGACACCGCGTCGATCTCTCAACCTTGAATCGATCACGGCCCAGATCGTTCAAGGTTGAATTCCGTCGGATATTGTGGCGTTGCCGTGTCCCTCGGTGCTTCCAGGTCGCAGAACTCAACCTTGAATGTCTTCGCCGGCCTCGCAGTCGCGCGAACGCCGCGTGAACCTAGCGTAGAACATCCCCTGCACGCGGCCGGGTTCCCCAGCGCTTCCCGGCGCCAGGGGCGACCATGATCGAGGTATGAGCGCAGCGGCGGGGCTGACACTGCACGCAGCGATCGTCGCACCCCCCTCCTCTCCCATAACCCCCTCCCGTTTGAGCGAAGGATTGCAAAAAAACCTTTTGCGAAGGATTGCAAACAAACCTCTTGCGAAGGTTTTTTTTTGCAATCCTGCGAAGGTTTGCAACCCTAGGTTGTTTTTGCAATCCTTCGTTCACCTGGGTTTTTTTTTGCAATCCTTCGGACCGCCCGTCCCCGGTCGTGGCGCCCGGTTGCAGAGAGGCTGCCCACACAAGGCGCTGCCCTTCTCGACCTCCGAGTTCCCGCGTCGCTGTCTTCGCTGCTTCCCGGCGCCGTGCTCCACCTCCTCCTCCTCCTCCTCCTCCTCCTCCTGCATCGGTGCCGCGGTCGACACGGGCGCACGCGAGCACCCCAAAAAACGGCGGCGCCCGCGGTGTATTACGCTCCGAAGCTGCCTGTGGGCGAGGGCCAGGGCTAGAAGCTGCCTGGGGGGCGGAAACAGCCATGCGCCATCGCTCCTCCCCCCCTGCACCGCTCACCACGGACCCCGATGCCGCCCTCCCCCCTCCCAAGCCGCCTCGAGGTCTATCGCATTCAGCCTTCGGCTAGCGGTCTTCGGGACGCACGCCTTAACTGCCTGCAATCTGTGAGGGATCTCGCGGGCACCTGCCGAGCGCTGCGTGCAACTAAAGAACTTGCACCTTCTCCTTGGAGCCAGGGTTCGAGAGGAAGCGAGGGCGAGAAAAGAGACACGAAGCTTGGTCTGGAGAAGATGCGGAGCCTACAGAAGTTCACCCCTGTACGCAATTCCAGATTGGAAAACACACACCCTTAATCAACACACTGCCCGCTTCCTGCAACTAGAAGGCATAAAGCTTGCTCGGCAAACTGAAACCCGACAACAACTCTACAGCTGCGAAATATCCTCCACTGGTGCACGATTGCGGTGCGGGCGCAGCATTCACATCAAGAACAAATTCTTCCTGACGTCATCGGGACCCGTGCTGCCCTGCATACCAAGCAGCCTTTTTAGCCCTGCGTCAGGGCTCTTCAGCGCAAGCTCACTGGCAGTCTTGCCCATCGCCTTGACAGCAGTGTCGCACCCTGCGTCAATCAACAGCTTCGCCACGTCGGCTTTATTGCACCTGACAGCCATGATGAGAGGGGTCATGCCGTTCTTCCCGACGATGTCGATGTTGGCCTTGGCGTTGATCAGAGCAGAAGCCAGTTCGGAGTTACCGTTACGCGCGGCCTCAAGAAGATAGGATGAGTTCAGGCCTATCTCCATATTGCCTTTGTCAGGATCGGACTTGAACTCCAGCAGCAGGGAAACCATCTCCTTTGAGGACTCCTCCTCGATTGCCAAATGCAGGGGCGTCTTGTACTGGCCATCAATGATGTTCGGGTCGGCCCGGGCCTCCAGCAGCAGCCGCGCCGCGGCGACGTAGTCCCAGGCGGCGCAGTAGTGCAGCGCCGTGCGGTGCTTCTCGCGCTCCTCGAACGACTTGCTGGTGAAGTCGGCGTCCTTCTCCGGGTCCTGGTCCTGCACGTTCGGGTCCGCCCGGGCCTTCAGGAGGGCCTCCACTGCAGAGCTCACCTGCTCCGGCGTCGTGCACTTGGCGGAGGCTGCCAGGTGCAAGGGGGTCTGGCCCTTGTTGTTGACTGTGCTCGCGGTGGCGCCGAGGTCCAGCAACACCCCCATGACGTCATGCCAGCCGTTGCGCACGCTCTCCGCCAGAGCCGTCGTGCCGTTGCAGTCCGGCTCGTCCACGTTGACTCCTGTGGCGGCGGCTCGGACCTTGCTCGCCATGGGTGCCTTCCCACCGGCGGTCTTGAACGCCTTCTCCCACCACACCAGCACCCGCTCGCGGCAGAGCTGCGGAAGGTCCTCGGGGACAAAAATCAAGGTGCCGTCGTTGAGCTGCACCTGGTAGGGGGCGTAGAAGTTCGGCGGGAAGCCCTCCTGGGTGTACCAATGGTCCACCACGGTCCCTGGCTCCCACCCGCTCGACGTGTTGCACAGCACCTGGTCCCCGATCGCGAAGCGCAGAGGCGTCTCCGTGCCCTTGCTGCCACCCCTTCCCATTCTGCACAGTGTTGAAGGCCGCTAGATGCGTAGTTAGCTACGACAGAAGCAAAATGACTCGAGCCAGAATGGCCACGGGCCCCGAGACTCGAAGTCAATTGATAAACTGCGACGCCGTGAGGAAACACCACAACAGGAATCCCACCCCACCTTCACGCTTCAACTTCTGGGGCAAGATCACTCCTTGAAAAGCCGGTCGTTTCTTCCACCGACTCCGAGATCATGAGTCGCAAGTCGCTGCGCATCGCTCCATGCGTTGCATAACGCGCGGCTCCTTTCGCGCCCTCGTGCCGCCGCCCTGGAGAACGGAGCACCGGGGCTGGCTCGAGACCGACGGCGCGATGCGCGAGTACTTTGCGCTCCCTCGGGCGCCCAAGGGATGCGGAGGCCCACAGGGTCGACAGAAGGGAAGGCTAACTAGGGGGGGGTACCCGTCGGTCGGGAGAAGTGGGTGAGAACTTGAAGAAGGGAGGCGGAGAAAGTAGCTTGGATTCAGACCCTCCCAGAGAATCGCGAACACACATCGAATCATACCATTCCTACGCTTAAAGTAGGAAGGCGCCAAAAGTAGACCAGGATCTAGGGGGGTCCAAGAACAGACGGGTATCGAGTCACCTGCATGCAGTCTGTCTTTCCCTGAGGCTTCCGGCGCCAGGGGCGGCTATGTATTGAGGAATGTGCCCGGCAGAAGGGCTGGAACTCCCAATCTGCTCGCGGGCCTACTACGACATGCGCCACAAGGCGCTTGCACTGAAAATTCAAACTTCGCTTACTGGCCGATCCCGGAATCCCTGAACCCAATGCCACCATCTCTTGGGGGCGCATCTTGTACTTCCGCTGGCTTCCGCCGGCGGGTCCGCTATCGTTTGACTTCCGCCGCCTTCCGCCGATGAAGGGATGATGACAACTCCTTCGACCCTTGAAGGCGAGGCCCTTTCTGGAACGCCTCACGCAGCAACTGGCTGGCATCTACACGGATTCCGCCTAGACCCTAGACAGCGCCCGCGGCGGCCCCTTGGCCGCCCCCTGGATTAGCTTGCAGATCAAAGACTGCACGACATCGTCTGCACCACATATGTTGCCCCACCCATATGCTCTGGGTTGTACCACATCGATGACGCCACATGGCTTGCGCCACGCAGGTTGCACCCCGTAGCTTCTCTGAACAACTTTACCCCCATGCCGAAATCAGACTGAAAATTTTACCTCGCCCGCTTCTGTTTTGAATCAGCTGTCCGTTCTTTGAAGGCCACGGGGCCTGGTGTGCCCCCTGGGTGAACCTTCCGCAATATCATTGCTCAACATGTCGGAGCTCCGGGAGAATCGGTGGTTTTCGGGCCGTAACGAGAGCCCCCAGCGGCCGTTCGGGACGATGCCGGCACACCCAGAATGCCCCCGGCGGGATGCGGGAAAGCATCCTGGGGCTGCAAAGCCTTCCGGAACCTGCGAGAACGACTGAAAGCCTGGGCTTCGGCAGCCCGGGATCGAGTGCGTAGCACTGGGTGCCTCCAAGAAGGGGGGGCAAGAGGAGGGGGGCGCCAGCTGCGCTAGCGCATCATGGCCCGAGGAACGTCCGCGGGCGCCGGGGGGTCAGAGAGCATACTTAAAGAAGATGGGTGGGGGGGGCCATGACATCTGGGACATCTCGTGGCCCCGGCGGCAGTTGCACCCCCCTTGGGCGATCGACCGCGGCAGATCCCCCCCCCCGAGCAGCGCCCCCGGCCGATGCTCAGTGGAGGTGAAGAGAGCCCCGCCCCCCCGGGCGATGCTCTCTCCATGTTGTTAGGTGTGTGTGGTGTTTGTTCCCGACGCCTCAAGCTTTTGCCAGAAGCAGGGCTCGAGTTAAACAGAGTTTTCCGTTTTCGTTTTGTTTTCGTCATCCCTAGTTCTGTCTTCGTTCCGCATTTGCTGCAAAACGAAGTCAAAACGAAAACGGTCCACGAAATTGCCAAAACACCGTTTAGCTCGAGCCCTGGCCAGAAGCGCCGAGCTCATGAACTGCACACCCCCGTGTTCCTCGACCCTCCTGTGGAAGTCCCCGAGTAGGAGGAGCCGGGGGCGCGAGGCGACCCTTCATCCACAGCCACCGTCTGGCGGATCGATCTTCGGGGGCTCGGCAGGCGGCGGATGTGGGTACCCGTCGGTCGGCAGAAGCAGGTAAAAACATGAAGTAGGAAGGCGGATAGAATAAATTGGGCCCAGGCCCTCCCATAGAGTAACAGAACAACACAAAGCAGAAGCACCTCGATTCTTGGAATAGGAAGGAGCATGAAGTAGCTTGGGACCTGGCAGTCCAAAAATGCCCGCTTTCAACGACCAGCGTGTACTCCAGATGTCGTAATAAAAGGGAGGGGGTCTGGACCCTCCAAGGCAAGCCATTTCAGACCTCCCCCGTGGGAGAACCCTCCAAAACATCGTCCCCAGACCCCCCCAGGCCCTCCAAGATAGCCTGGAAGAGACCCCCCCCCCGAAATGAGACCCCCCTCCCTTTATTACGAAATCTGGAGTACAGTTGGCCCCCCAGGGCCCGAATCTGTCCGCATCCACCGGCTCGGAGGCCGGCGGGCGAGGGGCAACGGAAAGGGGGGGGGGGCTGTCTCGGGGGCGGGGGCGGAGGGCATCGCGGTACTTAGGCGATGCATCCGCGGTGGGCCCTCGACAGCGACGCCGCACGCTCCGGAGGAGGAGAAGGAGAAGGGAGAGGAGGAGGAGGAGGAGGAGAAGGAGGAGGAGGAAAAGGAGGAGGAGGAGGAGGAGGAGGAGGAGGGGGAGGAGGAGGGGGTCGATGCGTCCCTCCCCGAGCCAGCCCCTAGAGGGGCCCAGGGACACGCAAACAAACAGACACAGATCCCAGGATTCCCTGTACTGTTCAATAGTTTCTGGACGTTCGTCTTCCCCTCCGCTTCCCATCTTTGCCAATATTTTTCAAGAGGATCGATCTTTAATTGAGTCTGTTTCTTCCCCTCCTGAGTCCCCCCATGACCTTGCCCCCGAGGGCGGGCCGCGCCGCGCGCGCGTGTGCGGAGGGCATGGCCTCATGTGTTTTACTGCGATGTCCCCGAAAACTTCGGCAGGGGCCAACCGTCCGGGCATTCCTAAGGAGGCCTACCACGACGTGCCCCTAGAACAGAAGGGTGTCCTAAGAACGGGAGCAGTGCTCTTAGGACATGTACCCGGTGTATTCGACCAAGACGTTCTCGGCCAGAAATAATGTGAACATGTCAGGCAGACCACAAGAGGTTCTTAGAACACTATGTGGTGGGCCTGCCCATCGGTCGGAAGTAGGTAGAAACATGGCATAGGAAGGCGTTGAAATAAGATTGGGTGTCCGCCCGCTCCCTAATGTGGACGGAAGCGGTGATTCCACTGGATCATTGAAGGAGGAAGGCGCTTCAAGTAGAGTGGAGCCTGGGAATCCAAAGATACCTACTTTCAACGACCGATGGGTATAGAGCAGCTAAGACGCCACGCCACTGCAAGACGAAGTCTCGACCCTTTCTCTGCGGCCGGCTCCGCCTCTTACGTCGCCCCTCGACGGCACCAGCTGCTCTGCGCGAGGGCCCCCACCCTCCCGCCGTCGACTCTCCCACACGACGCGAGCATGCTCCCGAGGATGGACCTCAACAGTGATATCGTCTTCTCGTTGTTTTCGCTTTCCCTCGTTCTGTCTTTGATCCGCCTCTGCGGAGAAAACCGGCATCGAAACGGAACCGGCCCTCGAAATCACCCAAACACCGTGCAGGTCGACCCCTGGAGCCAGCTCCCTGACGTCCGCCGATCGGTTGTTTTCAGTCCGCGGCCCTGGAGGTCCCATCCGCTTCCATGGGGGGTGTTGTTTAGAGGCCTCCCAGATGGGGTCGGAGCAGATGGGGTCGAAGGATCGCGCCGCATCGACGATGCATCACCGATGCATCGGCAAAGCATCGGCGTCATCGGCATGGACCATATCGAGCTCCACTTCGCGCCGCATCACCGATGCATCCGCGATGCAGCGCAACCCTACGACCTCTTCTCTATTCTGACCTCATCTAGGAGGCCTAGACTTACCGTCCCAGATCCACTCCAGATGGCCCCTTTGGAAGGGGCCCCAGGACACACAAATAAATACACTCAAATAAACAGATTCCCCATAGTTTCCCATATTGTCTGGGTTTTTGTCTTCCCCCCCACTTCCCATATTTTCCCCCATTTTCCTGGGAATCGACGATTAATTGTGTCTGTGTGTTTTTTCCTCTCCTGACCTTTGCCCGACAACGGCTCGCGAGGGCCGAGATCGCAGACAAAAACACCGGCCCAACGGAAATCACGGTGCCGGAGCTCTCGGGACGCGGGAGAGGCCCCAGCGCGAGGCGCGCCGGAGGGGAAACGAGAGGGGGGGACTGGCATAGGGGGAACATCGACCTGGAATCGGCGATACTGAAGGGGCCCCAGGACACACAAATAAATACACACAAATAAATGGATTCTCCATATTTTCCTATATGTTCTGGGTTTTTGTCTTCCCCCCCACTTCCAATATTTTCCCATATTTTCTGGGGAATCGACGATTAATTGTGTCTGTGTGTTTCTTCCCCTCCTGAGATACATCGCTTGGGGCTATGGGGCCCTTCCTGTCGCAGCAGATGCAGCGCGACTTGTGCGTTTTCGAGCGCCCCCAAAGCTTCCAGCAGCACGGTGGTGCTCGCGCCGCGTTGCTCCGTGTGCTCCGCGCGGAAGTCCGCGTCCCCCACTGGCGCGCCGAGTAGCTCGAGGCTGAGGTCGGCGCGGAGGCGGAAGCCCGGCGGCGATCAATGGCCGATTGGGCGGACGATGCGTCCCCCCCTGTGCCTATCCTCCGCTATCATGAGCAGGGACCGACCGTCCCGGCATTCCTATAGTCCTACCACGAAATGTTCTTAGAACCCAAAAATGTTCCAAGAACAAAAACAACGTTCTTAGAACATAAACCTGATGTGATAAACCAAGACAGTCTCCGCCAGAAATGTTCTAAGAACGTTTCGTGGGAGCCACAAAAGGTTCTTAGAACATTGTTTGGTAAGGCTATAGGCGAGCCATGACGCTTCGCCACTGCTTGACCTGTGCCTATCACCCGCTATCCTTGCCCCCGAGCGTCCTGCTCGGCGGCCACCGCGGGGGCCGCGAGCCCGGCCGGCGCGCCCGCCGCGAGCAGCGCAGCGAA